TTTACATTCTCGGGATTAGCGTGATGTGTTACGTTGTACTGCGCAAAGATCTCGTCGAGGTCCACGAGCCCCACTTAGAATGCCACTGTACGCAGCGGTTTTATGAAATTACAACTGGCAGAGAATCTAAGTACAAAGCTACAGCTGTCTAAATAATCAATTTCGCCAAAAGATCTTGCCTTTGAAGCAATAAATAAGAGTCAGTTTTTAGGAAATAATGCCTGTTATCTCTGTAACGGAAAAGACCTGAGAAGAGATATTTTCGAATTAGTCATGTCCTTATGCTAATAAGTAACTTGCAAAAAAGATTTTTCTTCAACTCGTCTGNTATGAATAAAATAACCATAAGTAGCTCGAGTACATAAATCAGCAGCTGAACCCTACATTCCATATCAATCCGACCATCCACGTCACATTCATCGTAATATTCCACATGTAGCTCTACTTCGAGCGGCTCGTCTATGTTCTAAGATCAAAGTCAAAAATATTTAGACGTTTCACCCATCTTGTCATACATTCAGTACCATCGTTGGATAGTTTTTGATAGAAAAAAGAATTAAAACAATGAACACGGAGATTAGTTCCACCTTGTTGTTTTATCATTTCAAAATATATATTGATGACCTAAAGAATAATTAAGGTTACACCTAATCGAAGAGGAATAACGCGCATGAATGCGACCTACGTTATCATTCAGCCATATGTTGATTTCTAATGTTTGAAGATCTGCGCGTGTCACCCTTTGATCATTTACTTCTGCAATAATTATATTGCTCATTGCAACTACACTTAGAAAACGAAAGAGAATGAAGTACAACAAGATACTGACAGTAATCTTGATAATATATACCTAGAAATTCGAAAAAAAATTTTCGTATTTTCTCGTGCCAGAACAAAAGTTATCGTGTATTTTCAATATGCTATAGATTTACTATAAAAGTTTTTCTTTTCGATGAACCAAGAATCATATGAATAGTCTGAATTAGGTATGTATCGAGTCCGAGTCGTACTTGAGATACTTGGACTCGACTACTCGATTTTCCAATCTATTATCGAAACCAAAATATGAGACCGGTGGCCATTCTTTGGATAACTGTTCAACAAATGTAGATGAAGACTCGCGGCTTTTGCTATCAGATAGTCAAGACTTAAGAGCATGTTTTCGTAAGCCGAAAATATTTAGACATGTTTTTAAAAAACCGGTTTTCAAGAAGATCTCTGGAAAACCGTTTTCTAACTGGAAATTTGACATAGCAATATATTGATTTCTTTTCATGAATAGATAGACTGAAGTACTCTCCACAAAACAGAGCCTAAGCGGGAGCTTCATCTGCCATGGTTACGCAGGGAACGAGATTTTCCTGGGAGCCCTAGGACTGCTCTTTATTTCAGTCAATGAGTAGCAGCAATGCATGGAAACAGAAGTTTCGACTATGCCGAATCTCCTGACAATATTTGTTTTTAAAAAGAGATTTTAAAAACTAGCGAAAACCAAGTTCTTCAAAAACTAGGGTTTTCCGCCTGTTTTCACCTGCTATTAAAAAATTCACAAGTCACTCAAAAAACATCAGAAAGAATTCAAAACTTCAGGATGTACAGTATTTGGGCTGTTTTATATTCTATTTATAAGAAATCAACAAGAAAAAATTTATAAAACCTTATGGTTTTCCGACAGGGTTTCTGAAAAATCTCAGGACGAAAACATCATTTTTTAATTTTTTCAATTTTGTAATCACGTCTGGCGGACAGAATTAACTATATCCTGAAAGTTTGGACTTGTTCTGATGTTTCTGGAGTGACTTGTGAATTTTTTAGTAGCAGGTGAAAACAGGCGGAAAACCCTAGTTTTTGAAGAACTTGGTTTTCGCTAGTTTTTAAAATCTCTTGTTAAAAACAAATACCATTTTTCGTACCATACTCGATGCGTGGGTCTGCACGAATTTATTCTTAGCTTTTTTTCAACTTTTGCTGCTTTCAAACAAAATATACAAAATTTAAATAAAAATGTCAACTCATTGATCAAAAGACGATGTTGATACACACGAGAATTTATGATAATTCATTTTCGATTTGTGCCGTAACTTTGTTAACTTTATTTTTAAACCTTGGATCAGTACTATGAAATCCAATTAAATATAGTAAATCGAGGACACGTGCTTTTTGTGTATTTGTGAACATCGGCATCTTCAGTAAACCACACAGCTTATTATCGTTGATACATTCGACGTATTGTTCATAATTTGAATTTAGTGTTAATTTAAATTTCTGAATCAGGTACGTAAATTCATCCAGACCTTGATTACCTGCTATGTCAATACGAAAAACGTATTGTAATATAATGAAGTTGTTCACTACGTCGATATAGGCGTTTACATATGATAAAAGATGATCATCTTCATCATCTCCCATTTGGAGTGCGTATGATGGCACGATCAACGTTACACATAACAATGAGATCATGAATATATTCTGGGCAGAAGTTGAGTGGACTGCTTGATTTTTTAGTGAATCACGCGCAGCTTTAAATTCGCCA